GGGGGGTGGGGGGGTGGGGGGTCTCTAATAAAGGGTGGACATACGTTGATGGCATTGTACGTGAAACTGTGTTTTTATTGATTTAGTAGATATCTGCGTTTATCACTTTAGTTGATCAATTATTCCACATACATTTTAATGTTTTATTTTATTTAATATACAATGATGTGCGACGGCAGTGCACAACAGAAACAGATACAAAATAAACTATTAAGATTTTACAGTTTTGTTTAATAAGTATCAACAGTAGAAAAATCTATCCTTAACAATACAGCTAGACATCATGGGTATTAACTCTATTTCACACAAACAGATTTGTTAACGCAAAAGGCACAGGTGCCAAAAGACTTCCCCTTGGCGGCTACTAATTTGAAATGTTTAGCTCAATATAAAAAAGATGAAGCGTATGAGAGACGATTTCTATCTAGTACGTACGGATCACTAGGTTATTTATCATGTTGTTGTTTATGGCTGGGTCAGTTAAAGTGTTATCTTACTGGAACGTCATTACTTTAACACGCCATCATAACACTCAACACGGTTCTGCAAACAGTCTAAATAGGGGTTTTAAGAGAGTAACTACAAAAACGGAAGCGTAAAGAGAAAAATATATGGCTCCAAGGGATAACTTATGAGTATAATATTTATTTTATTTCTATTAATTAGTAAGGTGATCACTGAAAAATAACTGGCATGCATTTTATTTTGGAGTAAATCAAGTACTTTGTTCAGATTATACCATTCCTTTGAATGTAGATAAAGCTTAGCCTTCATTATGTTTTACATTCGTTTTCGTTCACACACCGTGCACACATCGTTCACACACCGTGCACACATCGTGCGCACACCGCACATCGTGTAACGTTGTGCGATCCCACAACTGTAAATAAAAACAAAATAGTAAAATTAATTTATGTCTAAAAGAAAAGAATGTTCAAATATAGTTTTGTGTATAAATTATCAGCTAATTGATAAGTTCAGCATTAATTTCTGTAGCTTCTGAACATGTTAATTAAAGTATTATGTTCATTTTTGACGTAGCTTTTGTCTAGTGCATGCAGTATACAATATTATAGTGTGCATCTATTTTACTTGTGTTTAAGACATTAAGTAAACAGAGTTCTGCAAACGATTTGCAATTTTATACAAATGGAATTCCTTTTCCTTTTACGTTGAGATTTCAATTTGCACCTTTGTACATATGACAAAGACGTTTATTTGTTTTCTTTTCTGGTTTTAATGTAAAGGCAATGGCGGCATTGTGTCAATATTACTTCGGTTTTCACAAATCGACAGTGATTATCATATAGTTAAATTGCAAAACTTTTCATCTCGTAATTAACACTTACTATACACCACGTTATATATCAATTTGAATTAGTTTATCTTTATGACGATAAATTGTGAAGAAGTGTATGAAAAAGGGTTTAAGATTTTTCACCTTCAAATGGTCATTCCTTTAAACAGATTTTGAAGATTTACTGACTGTTTTAAGGCCCAACTAATCTGAACAAATATGACAAAAAGTTACCTGCATTTCATTCGATGATTTAAACGATTGTTATCCTGGTTTCTATTTAAGTTGATGATTTGGGTTTCCTGTTCCTGTCATGCCACGTCCGTCATTTGTAAACATATGTATGCACAAGCCTGTCGAAACATGTTTAGCTATGCCAGGCTATTTTCATGGTTTACAGTTACACGAACAGACGACCTTATTCGATATTTAATTTGTAAAATAATTTTAGGTTTTAACCTTCCGGGTCCGTTTACGGAGGGTTTCCGTGGGATAAACCCAGGTGGTAAAACCAGTCCTTAACATTTAAATGGCAAACAGAACGGAGAGGAGTTATTGTATGTGTACTTTTCGTGGGTACCATTTCCACCTTGTTTTAAATTTAAAATAGTTTCCAACGTAAAACATTTAAACCAACAAGACGGAAGTAGTGTGACCTTGTGAATTGGATGTACAGACAACTACTATCTGCTATATTTGTAAGTCTGCGTTGACTTGTAACGGTTCATGGCGGAGACAAACACGCAGTAAGGTAAGATTTGTCATGTGATCTACTATATTATCCCGGGTTGAGTTGTAAAGGCTTATAAAACAGTATATACTAAGTACAAGTAAGTAATCCTTAACCGTTCCCCTGTGATTCATCGATCATACTAGTGCACATATTTTACCGGTATTTATATGCTAAGGATACATTATTTCTTGTTTTGTGCTTACACATGTACTGAACTTTTTGTTTTTGTATGATTGATATTGTACCAGGTTAATGTTATAGACCATATTCATAACACGTGGGATGACTCCGTGTACAGGGGTATATATTGTAGAAGGAAATGGCTTTATAGCAGTCTCAATACTTTAAGTTCTAGTACGAAATATCGTAATTTGGAATAAGGGATAAAAGAATATTTACAAATCGTATGAAGAAACTTTTTCAACAACTATGTGTCGCTTCAGGTTAGACACCTTATTAAATTTGGCAACATAAATCCGCACTTTCGCTAGAATTTAACATATTTCATCAGTGTACTAGTTCGTTCTACAAAACAAGTGAACATGTAAAATGAACAACACAATTACAACAAAAATACAATTACAATCAACAATGTAATTAAAACATTATTTAATTAGAAACAACATTGTATGATACTGGTGGTAAACAGGAGAACATTGCAACAGCCTGATAGTAAACAACACACGTATTGATGCTAAAATGATTGATAATTTTCAGAACTGAAGACATTCTCGAGTGAAAATTTATAAAAATAATACAGCGAGTAACCTCAACATTATAATGCAAGTTTGCTGTAGGTCTGAACAATTTAAATTTAAGTGTTGTAATGTTTACAATTGAGCGACTAAATGTTAGACAACGTTCTTTGTGTTTTTAAACCCCGTCTTCAGTATACAGGGGTACATTATATTTTACAGTGGAGCCAGGCTAGCTCCTTATTTAAAATAGGTAGGTCTATTGTCAATGATTTATTTCATAATGCGTTTTTTTCCTTTAGCGTCCTTTAAAAATGTCGACGATGACAGAAGTGGTGATCCTGGCCTATATTGTTGTATGTTTACTGCCAGGTACGTACAGATAACTTAGCAATACTTTAGTCATTCATGTCATATATAGTGATAATTGGACAGAGCTGATCTTTCCACGTAGTCTTTGGTTGATATTTATGATAATTTGGGTTTTAAAATACATATTTGACTTTTCTTTTTTCATAACTGGTTCTATTCCTAATCAGTTTCGGTTTAGTGGCAATATCGTTATACGTTTTATTGTCATGGGACAAGTCTGTTTCTCACGTTAATTTGTACAAAACAACACGTGAATGTAGATATCTTATATAATACAATATGCACAAAAAACGATATTGATATCGAATAATTGAATATTATTAATGCATTTATTTGAATAAATTCGAGGTTCTTATATACCGCTTTATCACAACCTAGTTCTTAGGTCGTCTCAAAGCGGTAATAATAATAAATAATAATAATAATATCGTTTATTTATCCAGGGATACATATTTAGACATGTCTGATTTACAATATGGCCCTGCATCAATATATTTACAGATATCACAGAAAAATACACATAAACTTCATAAAAGACATTTGCAGATTAAAATACATGTATATTAAACACAAATACAATACGTATTTAAAAAGTAAATTGTTATATCATAAAGTAAGTACCAAACTAACGTTTTGAGAAGAAATCCTGTAGGTATTTGCGTTTAAAAGCAGCAACATCACACGCATTTCTAATATTTACATTCAATCCATTCAATAAAACAGAACATGTGTACACAAATGAACGTTTGAAATAATTAGTTCTAGCAGTGGGAATATAAAACTTGTTGGAAACTAATGACCTTGTATTTCTAAAACTGATATCCCTGACATAGGTAAACATATTACTTAAAACACCCCATGTAAAATTTTGTAAGAACAGAACTGCTTTCCTAAAAACAAAATAATGTTCTATTGGCAGCCACTTTAGCTGTTTAAAAAGCAAAATGGAAGGGGTAAAAACGTCTCTTATATTTAACAAAACTCTAGCTGCTCTTTTCTGAAGTTTGGAGATTTTATGAATATATGATTTGTTACTAGCCTCACTCCAGACTACAGAACAATAGATAACATGTGGGAAAACTATACTTTGATATACTTTACTGAGAATATCATTAGACATGAAAGGTCGTAACCTTTTCAGAACACCAATCTTTTTCGAAATTTTCTTTGATATGTAATCAATGTGGTCTTTCCAAGACAGACAACAGTCGACAAAAACACCAAGGAGTTTTGCACAGTGAACAGTTTCTTTAATTAAGTTATCAATAGTAATGCTCAACTCACGACATTTAAATAACCCCTGAGACGATCCAATCAACATGCACTGAGTTTTGTTCGGATTAAGACTAAGTTTGTTTTCTCTCATCCACTGAATTGTGCATTCTAAGTCTTCCATCATTTGTTTTTTTCTAAAAGCTCTACTGTTTTGTTCCTAACGCTTTGTGAGGAGACATCTGCATGCATTTCTACAGTAGAATGTTTCAGACAGTTAGGGTAGTAATTAATATTTAAAATGAAAAGCAGAGGCCCAAGTATAGAGCCTTGTGGTACACCAATTTTGATCGGTTGAAAATCAGACATTTCATTACCATAACTTACAGCCTGTGATCTGTTTGATAGGTAAGAAGCAAAGAATTTTAACGAAAGGGGTTCAAAAATTATTATCCGTGGTTATAGGGCCTTTGTAACCAGCCGATATCTTTCTCAACTCCCTGGGGAGCATACAGCCGGAGCTACCATTTCGGCGCTAACAGCCAGCATTCAACAATTCTAGCACTGCCCAGCCTCGTATTTATTTACAGCTGATTAGACTGGAACAAGCGGAGTAAAGTATCTTGCTCAAATATACAACACAGCGCCGTGCCGTAACTCGAACCTTAACACTATTACAGTTAATAGTCTAATAGTGAACTGTAAAAGTTATTCCAAATAAAATATATTGAAAAATGATTAATTATAGTATGTTTATTGATATATATTTGCATATATGAATCTATGTTTACTTACACTACGTTGATATTTATGTTCATTTGATCATGAACGTTTACGTAGAATGAACGCTAAGCCGTTTATGACTGAAAAGTATTTGTGTCTATGAAGGTAAAACTGAAACGTTCGTGCAGGGCTACGTATGAAAAAGTAACATATTTCCTTCATCTACATTGGATTTGGAAAAATATCTCCTTCCACGCTCCTCCTGAAACTTTTCGATATTTTCTTTGTAAACGAAAGCTTATAGAATTATATAGAGTTTTAATATTACTTTGTCGATTTCTTTATGTCAATTTAGTTGATATTAAGACATAGTTAAATAATTAGCAGCTAATGTTTACTTTGTCTTAAGGCCTACATAATCCATCAACCGTTCTATTTGATAAAAGCAATATATAATCAATCCCTTTATATCAATTTAATGTTGTAAAAATGTCAGAAACGTATATAAATCTTAAATTAAACTCTAGAAACAGGAGCTTATTTAAGTATATATATATCTATAAATGTAATGATGAAATACAGTCCATCATTTAGGGCTCACTGTTCAGATTCATTTCAAAAATTCTGATTCTGAATACAGTTTTGTTTTCATACGAAACATACTATACATAGTGTCCAAATAGACTTAAAATCAATGGTACAAGTAGAGTCAATTCGGTGGGGTTCCTTGATAGATGAAAATCACATTGCTGTTGATGACAAATTTAATAAAGCCCGGTACAGCTTTATGTAATTTTGTATAGGACCGTAACAATAATTGCTAAAACATTCATTATTCATATTGACATTTTGACAGAGTAGTTTTAAACTGTTCTCCGAACAGCAAATTAAGTGTTGACAATAATAAATTGATGACGTCACAAAAGAGATTTATGACGTGAAAATGGCAAAGGTTGTTATAGTCTCACAACAAGATGTGTCTCTTCAATGCCTTGCAATGGAAGGATGCAGAGTAAATGTAAATATAAACGTGAGGGTTGTGTAATTTAAACTGGTTCGTTTGTCATATAGAGTCTGCCACTCACGCTGGACACGAGGAAGTCAGTCATCCCTTTCTCTCGAGGTCAATGGCAATGTCCTTCATTCCGAAAGCTCACTGGATACATCGCCGGACCGCATCCTCGTGTCAAAACGATGAAGGTTACTGCGAGAAAAACAAAATGGAATGTATGGTAAACAGACATTCTTTGTATGGTGAAAAGCCACTGTTTATATTTTTTAAGTTTGTTTAGCCTATCAACACAATGCGATATTGCTGTTCCAATTAATACCACATTTGTAGAATGTAATTCTGGAGGAAACATCAGAAGTTAAGGAATAAGAAAATACAGAGTAGAACAAACTCTCTTCATAGGATTTCTGTTGCATTTACCAGTTCAAATTATTAAACTATCAAAAAGAAATCAAGTAATGCGATCCACTATTCCTAGAATCATTGGGAAAGGGAATCCATTTTGATTTGTGTTTAATGTTTGCATGGTTATACTTTGTGATAAATAAATATAATAACTCCTGTCAAACAAACATTTTAAGAATATTCTTAATAAATGTAGCTTTGGAATTATCAACATCTAGGAAATATACTACAGATTTCATAAATAAGTAGACAAACCAACGTTTATGCTTGTGAGTATTCTTGCAAATTACGTGATTGGTGTATTTTCGGTAAACGTTTCCGTTATTAAAATAAGATAATGTCTTTAGGTGTACAGTGTCCTAAACATAGCATTGAACGCCTGAAATATCGATCAAATAAACCAAATAATTGTAAATCTTTGGATATAAAACACGTGGCATTAATCGCACAAACCTTTCATGTTATTGTTGTAAATCACGATTGAAAAAAACAACCTCCTGAACCTTTTTTTTTTTTTTTTTTTAATATTTTGGAAAGACCAATGGTTAAGCATCATTAATAGAAAAATAAATAAGAAAAAGTTCCTTTGCAAAAAAATAGTGATAGACTAATGTCTGCACCTATTATAAGGAAATGGTCAAAGTGAAAATAACGATATTATATAATTTCAGACTTATGTTGAATCCAACCGCGAACACTTCTGTAAACCAGACCCGTGTTCAAGTGGATCCACATGCTACCTGTCTACACCCTGCCCCGCCCACTTCACGCAAGGATGTACAGGTACCGCATATGTATTTGTATGACGCATGTCTTAGCTATTTCTGGATAAAAACAAATACACATCTACATGTATATATATATGATCACACTTTAATGATCACCAATATGCATATTGTTTGAACATATTTTGTATTTTTCTGTTCGATGTTAGACGTATAACATTACTTCTTTATCAATATAGACTTTTGTGGTCGTGGTTAATATAACTTTGTTAAGGTTCATATAACCACATATTCACTGAAATAAAGGCTTAAATTTCTACTTACATATGTATGCGATTTTTTATTATTTAAAAAAACCCCGATTAAACATTATGAAATCGTGAAGAGTAAAAGTACTGTATTTCTCAGAAGGCATTGTAACGTTGGAGCAATGTCATAAAGGAAAGATTAACCTGTTGATTCTAAAATAGCAACTCCGAGTCATATAAATAACCGACCTCCACGTGGTTAGGATGCAGACAAAAATAATTTAGAAATCAGATGTTTCATCTACTATTTTCTATTTTTCTTACCTTTTTTAAACCATTGAATTTGAGATATTTTCCGGAATTATACGTTTGATTGGTGTTAAAAGTGAACATCTTGAGCGCATCATCCTTCAATTAATATGTACAAACCGTAACACGTTTTTCTTGCTTCTTCCTGTAGAAAATGCTTGTCTTGGTCTGCCTTGTGAACATGGGGCGACCTGTTCCCGCCAACCAGGGTCCAATTTCACGTGTTTATGTACATCCGGTTTTTATGGCGACACTTGTGAATACGGTAAGTGGTAATATTATTATATGTCACTAAGGCTAGAAGACGGAGAATAAACGGGCAGTGCCAGTGCCAAGATCCACACCAGAATACACTAAAACGAAAATGAAAGAAATGAAAATAATATTAATTCTGAGTATTGCAATACCAGAAATTAACAGTAATAACATTCAGGAGTTAAGGGTGACATCACAGAAAATGGGTCACAGTTTAGCATTAGTGTTATGAGGTCGTACTTTATGTTCTTGGAAAGAAGTAGAATAGAATCGTTTTCCGTGTTATTGCCGCTTTGTTCAAGATCATTCAAATTTTATTTCCGATCCATAACATTTTTCTATTATCCTTGCCTATATCATATTTTAATGTTGTTGTAGTTGCTTCGTAAGATGTTTATCAATATGTTTGTTGGATAAAGCCGTCACAGATTGATATCTTTTTTGGAATTGTCTGCTGATTTCGGCTCAATACCAAAACTATTTCTATCCCATCTCCCTCACCAGGAGGTAATATACTCAGGGCATTCGGTAACAACAAAGATTATACTAGGTGTAATTTTCAAATTTGTTGGTTGTCATTCTGACAATTCCCTAGTTCTTACTAAACTTTAGTTAGTTTGCAAATGTACGATACTTTTATAACATAATCGGAACTATCAGGTATCGTTGCAAAACAAGTTTCTTCTGTGTCATTTCTCTCTTTTGTGACGTCATGATACAAATCAGGAATTTTTCATCATAATATGATTGTGTCACAACAAATATATTTATCAGTTCATTGGATAAATTATGTAATTTGGAAAAACAGTTATGGATGTTTTACTCAATTACAGCCATATATTTTGGCAAATATGCTCTCGCATGCATAACCTCATGTTTCCTTCTTAGCCTCTCATTTCTATTTATATCCACATAATAATTGTTGGGGGGATACAGGAAATAATGTTGGATATTGCCAAAACGAAAACAAAAATGAAACTCAAATAGACTAGCCACAATTCTTCCCGCTAACATTAGGAATAGGGATATTTAGGGGTGCTCTCCGAGTGCCAACATATCTAATAGCAAAAGGCAGGTGATGTTTTAAGGAACAATGACAAGTCAGTAATATACTGTTCCATAAATGCTGCATTTTGACCAGAATACTTACCCGAAATTAACCTGTGTTTTATGCAACACACTTTCTTAGACTACTTTGTTATATTTGGTCAAAATCTTTTTACCACTTTAAGTCGATGGTTTTTGACAAATACGAAAGTCTCTCCTATATTTTGAACAGACAAAAAAGAAAATAATTACAGTGAAATACTCGTGGTATCTATATATGTTCGAGGTTCTATAGTATTTTCTGCCATCAATTTATATAGGGACAGATAGAAGGGTATGTGTCGCTGATTATAACTTGGTAGTGTTATTAATGTGCTCTACCAGTCCTTTTTAAATCCTTTGTTACACCACCCATTCGCTAGTTAAATACTGAAAATTGGTCCCAAATGACATCGTAATCACCATAAACTTTTATCTGCCGGGAAGACGTGAGATCCTCCCATAATGTAATGCATTTATTGTGTTATTGTGTTGATGTACCATATCTAGCCATACATGTATAGCAGACTCATTATATTGGGGCACTGTACACTCTTAAGCTTATATAGAGATATATGTATAGTATAGACTCACTATATTGGGGCACTGTACACTCCTAAGCTTATATAGAGATATATGTATGGTATAGACTCACTATATTGGGGCACTGTACACTCTTAAGCTTATATAGAGATATAAGTATAGCATATACACATTATCTTGGGGCACTGTACACTCTTTAGCTTATATAGAGATATATGTTTAGCATATACACATTATCTTGGAGCACTGCTAGCTGATCTCAGCTTGACATCAAGAAGATGAGGTTTATACAGAACCAAATTTCTAGAACACCAGTACAGTATCTAAAGTGTAAGACACATTTATATTAGAGGACAAAAGGGGAAATAAGTAAACTTTTGGTTAAGGACAGTGTGGTAGCTGTGGTTTAGGTTTGATGTATACATACGAAGCACTGGTCTTCATAATGTATGTCCATACCTAAATGAGCAATTATAAATCTGCATATTAAATTTCGCTTTAATTTTTTTCAAGGCAATCATTGTACTGAAATCAACAGATAAGCATTGGGAAGCCTCATTATGTGTACATATGCATTTGTCATATTGCACAAAAAACTAAAAAAACAACATAATAACGTTACTCCATTAATTACGCGTAAATATACACGCATCATATAGGCGACCGAATTCGACAATAATAATTGCTAGTATTCATGTACATTTTAAATGTGGTTGGTTTCGGGCAGTTATTGAATACACACACCCATATTAACATTCCGATTTCCCCCCGGATAGCAAGATATACAAAACCACATAAATCTATAAATATACCGTATTACCTTACCTTACCTATCCACTTCGTGCCTCATGTCACATAAGGCCTTCACAGAAGTATACCATATATTTAGAACTAGAAACTATTGTATTACTGGGAAATGAAGAAGCTATCTATCTTAATGTCATATCTATCTGTCTTGGATGAAATAATAATAATCGTCATACTTGTACCAATAGCTTTAAACGAAATCCCAAAGCAAACGATTCACGCCTCGATCTCCATACAATGTAAGTAATACAGTCCAGCAGTCCGTGGTACAGATAACGGGGATAAATCACTGTAAAGCCAAATTAATTCCCGATAAATATTTTAATTGTAAACCTTTTCTAGCCTATGATTTATTTAGGAAATTAGAGAACAAAGCGATTGTTTTGCAGGATTTACCTCCCTTCGTACAAGATATGAGAGCATGAGGCAGCAGATAGTATGAACCAAAGATATACTAACTTGCATTGATTTGTTGAAGTTTTACATTTCAGCTAAAGTACTATTGGGCCTTTGAATGGGATGTTTCGTGAGATTTGTCATGACACAAGTGTTAATCACCGTTTGTGTATGCCTCATGTGTTAGTATTCTCTGATTTTTAGTTGACGCCTGCCATAGTGTCCCTTGTGTAAATGGCGGAACATGTGACCGGGACGCGAACAGCTTTAACTGTGCCTGTACAAACAGATACCAAGGAACTACTTGTGAAATAGGTAACACGACCCTGCTATTCACTTAACAGGTTTATCTTCTATGGCATTTATAAGTGATTGATGACAACTCCATTGTCCAAATGTCGTACAATATTACTTATTGTTTTGCCACTTCTGTGTATCTCCATTATCTGCTGTTTTATTTTGTTTCGGTAAAACATATTTATTAACCAAAGTGTGGGTATGGATATACTTTCACCCTATGACACTCTCTGAGTTAACAAAATTTAATTGATTTATTACCTTCCAAAACACATTCAGTGTTATACACATGACTGAGGACATTATTAGTTATTCGGCGAAGGGTACATAAGGTCCTGGCAGCGAACATGAGACCATGTACCCTGCCAAAGACCTGTATAACGAATTTGTCATACTGCAAAGCCATTTATAGGTTGGGACTCGTGTTTGCCAGAAAACAGATACTGTGTAGGGCGGTACTACGGGAAAACAGAATTATTATTTTTTTGTGTAATTCCAACAATTTCATAAATTTTTAAATTATAATAAGTCAACAATATGGTTTTGAAACAACATTAAATACATCTCTTTGTGTTTGTAGGTATAAGTGTACCCCGTTTTGTCTCAATTTCACTCTCCGTGTGGCTTGCAAACCGTTTCGCCATATTGTTGATTGTTGACATTAGCAGACGAACGTTCTCCGGTGTGTTCGATTCGAATCTTCGAGTTATCTCCCTTACAACAGGCGCGCGTGCTCTTATGTACCCCAGCAAGGATACTAACATAGCTTCAGGTACATTGGCAATTCGACCAATCACATCACCGTGCGACATTTTTCTTTGCAGTATGACAAGAAAGTATATACCACTGTCAGTAAACCATCAAACANACAGTGGTATTACAGTGTTTGTTACGATGTCAAGATCAAAACGAAGCCTACGTTTTAACACTGACATCTCAGTTGTGACGTCAGTATTTAGTTTCAACAAGATGACATCTCCTCATTGGTTTTGTAGTATTTATACATAATCTGCAGACGAAATGTGTGCCATTGAAATTTTAACGACGGATACTATTATATATTTATATATTGAGTTACCTACATCACGCTGCATTACAACGTGCACTTATGTTTTGGTTATAATGCATATTTAATCTCTCAAAATTCTTAATTTAATGGGTAAGGTGCCCGGCAGGTTCAACTATGCTCTACAATCTGGTCTGATGTACAGTTCTATTCAATGTACCTTAAATTAATCACTTATGTCAAGAGATCTTAAAACATTACAGATTGCAGGCCTGGGCCGGCAGATATCCTGTTCATTATCGATGCCTCGTTAAGTACGGAGAAACATTTCAACGATTCAAAAGCAACTGTCACGGCAATCATCAATAAGTTACCTATAGGAGCCGATGATTTTCAAATAGCAGTCATGAAATATTCATTTGATGCAACCATGGAGTTTTCCTTCAGTACCTACACAGACAAAGCAGATTTGGTTTCCGCCATTGATAACATATCACCTATCATGGGACCCTCCTACCTCGACAAGGCCTTAGACAAGGCGAAGGAGGTAAGACGGTATACGACAATATAAGCCAATATACATCCATGTTTTATGATATCCTTGTAAACAAGACTATATTGTAACGTGTTAATACGTTGACAAATTTTATTTAACCGTTACTTTTCACGGTTAAATTGTATTTATGTGGAATGCATCAGGTTGTTAGGCGGTGCACTCGCCTTTCATCAAGACGGCCGGAATTCACTTCTCGATCGAACGTGAAAACGTATTTGGTCATCCGCCCGATCACGTAGGGCTCCTCCGGGTACTTCAGTTTACTCCCACATTAAGACCGCCTTCAGGCCAACAAGAATGATTAATGTAAGATGGAAAAACTTGTTTCATACTTGCAAATAAATAAAGTTTATATATCATTGTATGTACATGTAAATGTCTGCTACCGTTACAGGTATTTGGTATTTCGTCATCCTTTGGGGCTCGAGCACAGGTGTTTCAGTACCTAATTATAGTCTCTGACGGGCTTTCTACTCTGAGAACGGAAGCAGTAAAAGACGCTCAAACATTGAAAAATCGAGGAATTAAAGTTCTAACCGTTGGGAATGGAGAGCAAGTCGATCAGACTGAACTGCTCCAGTTAGCTACAGCTAGCCAATATGTATTTTCAGGAGGCAAGGAGGATGATACCACAAATGTCATCCTTATAGAGACCGTGAACACTAGCTGTACAGGTAATTGTTCAACTCACATTGAATTAATAATATTCTTGTATTGATTATTTGTTTAGAAGTACCTTCATTAAAATCTTAAAATACAATTTCCAACGAAATATTCCAACTGTTTGGTTTCTGTTTTTATAACATCAGTAGAATATTATACATGTTCGTTATTTTTATATACCTAAGAAACTCTCTTTTCTTAGATTAAAAGTACCCAAACTGTCGGAGTTGATTAAATTATTGAATCCAAGACAAATTGTTAACATTTAATCAATCTACACGTCTTTAAGTAATTGCTGCAGAAAGCTCATTAATGCATGTTTACTTGAAACTATTTGCTGATTTATGGAATCAACAACAATAGTATATTTGATATTGACATTTTTTGCAGATTGTTTACTCAACACAATGACGGACATGGTGTTTGTGGTTGATATTTCTAAGCATCAGACTGTTCTACAACAAACGCTGGATGCACTTAAGGACCTGATATACAAAGCACTGGACTATAACCCAAATACTCAAGTCGGCATGGTCACGTTCGACTTGACCGCTACATTAAAGTTTAACCTTAATCAATATACAGATCGAGACAAGATCCTTCTCAACAGCCAGATTGGTCTTGCAACGACAAACCAAAAGTCAAATATAACCGCTGCCTTAACGTTTGTCCGTGAGAATGGGTTTAATAGCAATCGGCCGAACTCCCGGAAAATGTTAGTGGTGTTCTCTAACAAGGGCTGGACTGACGTGGATGGTATCTTACGAGAGAGGCAGGCTCTCAATATGGACAATGTGTTAGTGGTATTTGTTTCCGTTGGAAGATCAGCAGACCTTGTTACTGTATATACTGTAGCAGAGCGAGTTAGTGACGTGTATTTTATAGAACAGGACGCCGATTTAGTTCGATTTAACGCTCTTGTAGCACAGACAACGCACGTGGAATGTCCCTTCGATATTTTTGACATTCGAAAGTAGACTATTAAAAGGTTATATAAATAATAGTACATGTAGCTGATCGAAATTGGGTTATCTCTGTCTGCAACACATTATATTACAGAATCTTAGCCAGATACTGAAATAACCCGAAGTCGCTTAGTTACAGGTAATTCTTTTGCACTTTTTGTTCGGAAAAATATTTAATTCGTTATCATCTACAAGTATCCCGTCCGGGGTCTAAACAATATGGCCTCATCACTACTAAAGCTATGTTTGAATGCTTCCGCGTAAACAATGCAATCCGACCTCACAAAGAAGAAAACGTACATTGCAAATTGTATTTTATCAACAGCATCAGGAATCTAACAGCATAATTTGCGTTAGCGCGCGAATGAATTACATCGCTTCGTGAAAATTCCGGGAAATATCGCGTGAAGGTGCCAGAGAGATCGGACAGTAAGAAAGATCTGTCCCTGTCTGAGATGCAAGAATACATTGTCTGTTTATGTTACTTACATAACATGCCATTTCGTATCTCATTACATTTACCATCAGTTTACCCTGATTTTCAATATTGATATGATGCAGTAATGCCAATGAAGGCGATTTTAAAAAGCAATATTATTTCATAATTTGAGTATTTTTTGTTAGAATGCATGTGTATATACATAGCCCAACTTTAATACGTATTTATATATTTGTTATATGAGCTGGGTTTGGATAGTGGGGTATACTCGAGCAGATATAACTCTTCGTATGTTGATATTGGAACTCTTCAATGTTTATACAACTAAAGGCGTCATGGAATATCACACTAACATTGATAATGAATTTAGTTGACTGATTTGTGTCTATATCCTTCTACGCTGCTATTGCAGCATCCTCAATATCCAAGGGTTACGCCCACTTTCGCTCTCTGCACCACTGAAATATGTCGTATAGTAAAATTGAAGGCACGCGGCTACCTATTTGATTGGTGTCAGGTAAAGAAAACATGACCAATGACTAGGCTGATACTTGTTCTTTGAAGATTACATAGGAGCGACGCCCGACTTCAAAGCCAATAAGTGTTACCGTTACCCGACCGCGAGATTCTTTTGATGTACACCAAAGCATCAATTTTCTATGACATATTCCAGGGGTGCAGGGAGCAAAAGTGAGCGTAACCACTTGAGTATTGAGTATCGAGGATGCTATTCCAGATTCGTAGTTTTTTTTTATTAGCTCACCTGGTCCGATTCCAGCAAATAACATTTTGAACTCTAGACATACACCGTATCCATCGTAACCATATCATTAAGTCCCAGCCGTGATCATAGAGACGGCAAAAAGAGTGAACGCTTGTTTTATGAAAAAAATACCATATTTAAAGAGTTTGTTTATAAATATTTATTCATGCTTGGTATTGTTTGGTTTTATTTTACTATATCACGTCAGATTAGATATAATAAAAACGTACACAACGGCAGTCGTTCAACATTAATTCCTGAATTACTGTAAACATCGATACATCATTGGAAGGTATGTTTTCGTTTGTAGGAATACACTAATGATCAAAGCTTTGGTGCTGAACCATAGCTCACTGTACTTTTGTAATATGTACTTTAAATGGAACCCTGCCTCATTCTACTTGTTTTTGTTTAAATATATTTTTATTTGAAAATTTTCATTCGCTCTTGAAATTTCAACATGCTTGTTGATGTTGTTGTCATTGATTGCTTGTGATTGATTGATATGCACTTATTGTTATACTTCGTGTGTTAAGTTGTACACAGATGAGGAACATCACGATGATTACCGACATGTTAAGACTACCTTAGCGTCTGATTTCGTTTAAGTTTTGATATTGATTGGTGTTGGATTATTGCCTTGTCATTTAAACGCACACTATTAATATATTGTTGATTTAATAAAACCGAAATACTCTCGTTTTGGGTTTGTTTGAAACTTATATTGTCGAAAATTATATTATCAAAATGACACACCAATTAGAATTTCTCATAATACTTCAAAAATATGATTGATTGATTTTAAGAAAATTTTAAGGTTATATTCATAATCATAAGGATATGCAAATACTTATAACAGTAATTTGATAGTCATAAGCGATTATTTGGAGCAATTTTAAAATGACAACTGTCTATAGATGACAGAGTTTCAACAAATGTGACATTAGCCACAACTAGTCGTAAAAGCATACAACTGCAGTGTGTAAAACATGTGAAACTATTTTCTAATATTCTTAATCTTGTCTGGTCTAACAGTTCGCCTTAACAGTTTATACAAAACTGAACACCGTTACTCTGAATCAACATGTTGGCCTATGGTTGTTCTATAATTCAACATATCTGTGGGTATATATACGTGTTTTCTAAAGACAAGGAACTAGCCCATACATTTGAAGTCAGAACAATACATTCGACCAGATGTCATTCGCAGACGTTAGTGTTTATCAAAGATGTCATGTATTGTCTGGAAAGATCGAGAGACCAGACAAATCAGAACAATCATAGAAACAGATCTAGGTACATGTCAGATACGTGTTTCAGTGTTGGAGTAATGGGTTTCGTGTAGATAAAGGGGATATGTAGTTAATTGACCTAGCGAAACTACTGACGACACATGGTGCTTACATCGGCCGCACGTGAAACTCACATTCGTGCGATTAAACAATCAGGTTTTATATTATCTTCGTCAGGTTGTGCACTTGTGTTCTCAGTATAGTAAGATTTGGTTCGATTGGTCGATCAATATATCGAAGTAAAAAATAAAAACGGAAAGCAATAAGGTAGTGCATGTTTTTAAATTCAGATAAAGATTTTTAGCATTGTATCCAATTGTACAATGAATGTTACACAGTATACTGTAAAACTGTCAAAGAAAGGTGTTGGTCTCAAAAACACTAGAATAGACAGAGATAACAATTTGATAAGTGACTGGGACTTCTCTGTGGCTAGGACTTTTTTTCTTATCAGAGATTGAACAAGTTTGGTTAAAATCCCTTCATCGGTACAGAAGGAAAGGGTAATTTGTGTACTGAGCCGTAAGGACAAAACATACAAACCAATTACACTTCAGGGTTTTATAAAAAAAAATCAAACCACTAACCAACATAACTTCTCTTTATACAGGATCCTAAAAATAGCGAGCTTGTAAGACCGACAAGATATACATGTAAGATTGAAAATGGCCGGTTTTTTTCCTTAAAAAAAATAAATATTTATAGAATGTTACATAATCAGTGTTTTTCAGTTATGAAATATGTCAACCACTAACCAACATTACTCCTATATAGTGTGTATTTTATTTAATTTGTATTTCTTGCTAACAAGGTAGACGTTACAATCGATCATCAACAACACATATAGATTTGAGATTTTGATTTAAACATAAAATTTACACAAATCATCAGTGAGAGTGAAAACTAATTTTGAGATACAGACGATGTGTTGCTTTGTTGTGTTGCTGAAGAACATGTGTTTTTGTAGGTACATGTATATGTATTGGTTGACAAACATTTACCTTTCTAAAACTGAATCCTTTAATATTGTTCTAACGTTTGAAGTTTAAAAAATGAAATAAATATTGTTATTGAATACATTGGTTTAAAGTTGATTTTCGTTCGAGACAAAAAAGGTCTAGCTAGCTGTTATTTTGAAACTTCTCTATCTTGGAGTCGCGATTAAATGGTAAGTTTTAAAGTAATACATGTTTTTTTTCAAAGAAGTACTGGATCGCGTATCTGTTATACTGACAATGATCTTTTGGGATCGGACATTTAGTTAACAGAACCCTTTTGGCTAAAATGTTCACAATATGAAGTTCATTTTTCACTTTTGCTCTAAAGTACGTCATATAATATACTGGCGCATGATAAGTGGCTGTGCGAATGTGATGATACTGGCTTAAAAGGGAATTGGAAGTTTTGAAAAAACTAATAACTTATATATACAAGCAAACGTAGTTTATTTAATTGTATTTGCAGCGCTAGGTAAATTGATTTGCCAGTCGTGTACGATTTTCTTCCCCTTACTTCCAGCGATCTTTATTAGGCACGCATGCAGCATAATTTCCGCTATTGCGCAGTACACCACATGTGCAGACGTTATGATATTTTACATACGAGGATACTTTCAATAAAAAGATAACTGTTTTTTCTTTTTCTTTTTCTCCCGATGAGGTATGTTTGGGTCGTTTTGTGTGTGTTTAATTTGGATGTATTTGGGTCGTTTTGGGTGTTTTGGTAAATCGTCTTACCGTGTCCTTTGGAATTTAATATATTATATATAGATCTATATGTTGTTTTGTTAATTTGTTAATGTTGTTATTACAATAATGCCTGCTCAATTTGTAGATAGTTATACTAATGTTCTAATGCCCCCACCACTGGTCAGAGTACGAGATTTCTACACATGATTCTCCACATAGGATCCACGTTACTTGGATACCTGAGGGTGAGAGAAAACATTATTAAGGGAAATACTTTCTGTAATTTTTAAAAGAGATGCCACCGTTCTCCGCCGTTCTCTTTAAAAATAACAGAAACCATTCGCATTATATGTAGGTGTTTTGACGGAAAGGAAGACAGCTTTTAGTTTCGGTATGAGTTTTATGTAGACCCATGGTCGCACTTCTACCTCCGTCTCAAGGTTTAAAAAAAACTACCACTCCAGAACAGTCTAACCCCCTAAATATGCTTACCAAGGAACGAGATACACAAATATACTGCATACAAAGCTAAGAAATATGTATAATTAATATTGTTGAAAGTCCTGACTGCTTGTGTGAAAACCGATGTGAAAATGCGTTTCACTATTGTTTTGACTGTCCTTTATATGTAAATGATCAATTTGGAAGTATTACTTTTTGGTAATGAGTCTTCCGTGTTATATGCTAAAACTATTCTTGATATACATGTAGTGCACACATATATACACATACCAGTAACGTTTTAAACAATGAATTAAATCAAAAGCGATTGAATTAATTTAAAAGGACCCCTCTCTTCACCCATCCCACCTCTATATCCGTCTGTGTCACTCCCTCTCCCTCTCTTACATACTCTCTCTCTCTCCACCCTTCACACTTCTCTATCCGTCTGTGTCACCCCCTCTCCCTCTCTTACATCTCTCTCTCTCTCTCTCTCTCTCTATGGAAAACCCAGTCAAATTTAGTGGTGATAACATCACTTGAATTTGGAAAATTAACGAGATAGTTCATTTGTAAACATGAACTTATCATGACTGAGACAAAGCTGACAGAGAGTACGTAAACACCTGTTTTAAGCATCAGATTTTGTTGTGGGTGTGGCAGATTTTATTTGATAACTCAAAGTCAATTCAGAAATACGAAAAAGGGGTGACATACAAAATCCCAAAACTCAAAGCCCCTGTGGTCATTAACAATAAATATGCAGAGCTAAGCTTACTGTAGTATATATACACACAATGTTCTGATTGATAACAGTGAGAGATTTCCCTTTTATAATTGTTAATTAATGTCTTTATGTATATTAATTTCAGTGAAAACCAACTGTTCATAAGGTGATACACTTGATACATATGCAGAAAAACAAACAGTAAAAAGATATTGTTTGGTATCGGTGTTTTATTAGTGTCTGATGAGAGTTAATTAGAGGAAGTGTTTTGTTAGTACGATTTGAAGGTACGTGACAATGGATTCCAGTGACATGTTGACGACACGATGTTTTGCAAGTATAATGGCACAAAGCCCAAGACATTATATAGCGCATGTCTTTAACCTGGTTTACACTCGCCAACTTTTATCACTAAACGCTATGCCATGAAAACCCATAGGCCCGAAATGAGCTATCCTGCCTCCTTTATTCCAACCATTCCCATCTTGCTCCATTCCCTACCCATCAGCCTGCATTCCATAACTTCTGACTTTGATATCTTGCTATATCATATTAATCACTCACTGCATGCATCCTGGTGTGAGAGAACCAGAAATTAAATGACTGTCACACCTCGTTTTATCATAGATAAAAAAAATAGTGTTTGCGGTTTAGATTGAAAGTCTACATTAATTGATCCTACTTTTATAAAAGAAACTTTCTAAAATAATTAGATGTCAAAATTTGTTATGTCCTCATTGAATTCTATTTTAAGTGATGAATAAACAAGAGTACCGTGGGCGGAACAATATACGCCCATCGAATGCTTTATTGTGTTTATAAATAACTTCAACCGTCACATTTGCATTCACTACAACAGTTTGAGGAATACCAGTAATCAGGAGTGACTAAAGTAGTTTCTAACTCATTAAACACAACTTGATATCATGATTATAAAGCCTACCCAGTTTCAAAGAAATGATTCGAAAAATGTAGGAGGAGATCTCAAGACAAAATTCAAATACCGAAATAACCAAAGGCCAATAACTTTTGCAAAAACAGTTGAATCAAAATGCCGTTCAGGGAAACACAAATAAATATCATGGTTAAAAAGTCTACCAAGTTCAAAGATTGGTCGAAAAAATGTAGGAGATCTCCCTACAAAAATTCAAATACTGAAATAAACAAAGGGCATTAACTATTGCAAAAATAGTCAAATCAAAATTCCTTTCTCTGACAGGGAAACACAACTACATATCATTTATAATGCATTATAGACATATGATTATAATGCATACAAAGTTTCAAAGAGATTGGTCGAAAAATGTAGGACAAAAGTTTATGCCGGACGGATGGATGGACGACGCCATACCATATACTCCTGTCAAATTTGACAAGCATATAAAAAATATGTTTTGTTATTTCTATTGATAGCAGGCTGTATCGGGTAAATATTCATGGATGATGCAAACAGTAAAAAGTAGTTCCACAGGGATTTTTTTTTACATAGAGGTATGCAAACATTTTTTGACTATTAATGAGACTTTAGCATGCAAGGTATGAAGTATGAAACCAAAGAAAAATGAATTATAAAAAGATATGTCAAAATTCTTGATTGGCGTATAAAAACAAGGGGCATTACTTTCAAAAACAGTTGAATCAAACTGCTGCTCAGGAAAACATGTTCATGTCCTAATTATTAACCCTGTCAAGTTTGATAGAGAAAGTAGATATCACATGTGGAATGTGTTGGAAACAAACTGCACTTTTAAAGCATGCATGAAAAACGTAATTATAGCAGTGCTTCATGTAAAAATGTTACAAAAGACAAAGGCAAAGGCATAATTGCTGAGTTATTCAGTGCATGAATAGCAATGCGTCAAAGCCCTTACCAGAAGTCTCCAAGTTGACATCGTTCCCACAAGACTGAAAAAAATAAAAAATAATGCACTAATTTACAATCAATCTTTAATTTCACAATTTCCACTTACATTTCATACAGCATTGACAATAAGATATATTTTTATATGCCTACCATATGTTTGAAAGAGATCAGTTGAAAACTCAGAGATCGGAATTGGACACCCCATGTTGTTTGGTCATTTTTACCGCCGAACATTGGCAGTTTCCCATAGGTCAAAAATGCCGTATTTTCCCAAATTTGAAGTGCTATTTTCCCAATTTGCCAAGCACAAATACTTGTTTTTCAGCTAGGTTTTTTGCCACTTTTTCTACACTGAAAGGGATAAATAAATCCACCGCAACATCATGGTGCAATAAACACAATTTATTAACATGAAAAAAACATTTTTTAAATTTGTTTTCCCATATATTTGTCCTTGAAATTGACGGTGGGCAAAGAAGTGTTCATGTGATATTTCAGACTTTTAGACAGATAAAAATATATAAAATTTGCAAGTGAAGTAAATACAAGAGGCCCAGGTGCCTTAATAGCTCACCTGGTATTTTATTTTTCAATTTAAAACCTGCTGAGTACCATTCAGGTTTATCAAAGGAGTAAAAGTAACAAAGTTGCATCTTCCATTTATAAATATTCAATTCCCTTTGTCCAAAGATTCTCTAAAACAAGTTTGGTTAGGTTAAAATCCCTTCAACGGTACAGAAGGAGAAGGATCTTTAATGTTTTCCTCTATTTCCCCTAATGGGCCCCACTAATCTGCCCCAAAGAAGGGGAATCCACACACCTCAGTTTAAACAAAATTGATTCTTTTCTCCCTAAGCATGCTTCAGACTGCATTTGGTTTAAATCCCTTCACTTGTATAGTAGGAGAAAAAAAATCCTCTATTTCCCCTATTGGGCCCCGCTCCTATGCCGCCAGAAGGCCCACACCCTCCGTTTATACAAACTTGAGTCTCCTTTGTCCAAAGATGCTCTAGGACAAATTTGGTCAAAATCCTTCAATTGGTTGAGGAGAAGATTTTTAAAGATTTACCTATTTTCCCCTATTTGGCCCCGTCCCTCTGCCCCCAGGGGGACCATACCCTCCGTTCATACAAAACTGAGAACCCTTTGGCCAATGATGCTCCAGACCAAATTTGGTCAAAATCCCTTCATCGGTACAAAAGGAGAAGGATATTTGATGTTTTCCTCTATTTCCCCTAATGGGCCCCACCCATCTGCCCTTAGAAGGAGGCCCACACACCTCAGTTTATACAAAATTGATTCTTTTGTCCCTAATCATGCTTCAGACTGCATTTGGTTAAAATCCCTTCACTTGTATAGCAGGAGAAAAAAAATCCTCTATTTCCCCTATTGGGCCCCGCCCCTCCGCCCCCAGAGGGGCCACACCCTCCGTTTATACAAACTTGAGTCTTCTTTGTCCAAAGATGCTCTAGGACAAATTTGGTCAAAATCCTTCAATTGGTTGAGAAGAAGAACATTTTTAAAGATTTACCTTTTTTCCCCTTATTTAGCCCCGCCCCTCTGCCCCGAGGGGGGGCTATACCGTCCGTTTATACAAAACTGAGAACCCTTTGGCCAATGATGCTCCTGACCAAGCTTCAGACTGCATTTGGTTTAAATCCCTTCACTTGTATAGTAGGAGAGAAAAAATCCTCTACTTCCCCTATTTGGCCCCGCCCCTCTGCCCCCAAAGAGGCCACACCCTCCGTTTATACAAACTTGAGTCTCCTTTGTCCAAAGATGCTCTAAGACAAATTTGGTCAAAGTCCTTCAATTTGTTGAGAAGAAGAAGATTTTTAAAGATTTACCTATTTTCCCCTTATTTGGCCCCGCCCCTCTGCCCCCAGGGGGGTTATACCCTCCGTTTATACAAACTGAGAACCCTTTGGCCAATGATGCTCCTGGCCAAATTTGGTCAAAATCCTCTGAGCCATTCAGGACAAGTAGCATTTTAAAGGAAAAAGTTGACGGACGCCGGACGCCGGACGCGGACGCTGCACCATGGGATAAGCTCACTTGGCCCTTCGGGCCAGGTGTGCTAAAAATTGATACAGTTTACTAACTGTTAACTTGATTGTTAATTCTTTTCGAGACATTAGGGACGATATTTAACAGCTCTTTATACTAACCTTTCTCCACCACAAATCGTCTTCCCCGTAATCATACAAGATTTCAGAACCACGGGTAATTTGTCTAGTGGCAAATAGAGCCAAATGCACTTTTCCATTTATGATTATCTTTCTAATTTTGCAATTGAAGTGCTTCATCAATATGCCATCATTGACCAAGCTGCCAGCTCTTCCGGTCGTGTTGGTTGCATCTATGCTGTATGTGAATAAATATAAAACACTATAAATAGCATTCAATTGTAGTACAAGTACCGACGTGATTTTTGTTCATTTAAAATTTCATTTTATTAATACATGTAGCACAACATTTACAATTACTTGGTCTGGATAAAAGAAGAAAAGGTCTGAGGTTATAAATCCTACTTCAATAACAATTGTATTATCAAAATCTATCTATCAATCAATGCAAAGATAAATAATATATCAGTTTTAAACAATTATGAAATAAGTTTTATGAACTAATTTCGAACACTCTAAGCAGACAGCTCTAGAGTCGTGATGTGGGAGGAAACTATAGAGAACCATGAGAAAACCTATGTGGTCGGAGACTCAGAGATAACCTTTACACCCTTTCAAGATCAATAGAGGAACCAAACCCATATTGTCTTGAAGGAATATATAGGTGTACTATCCACTTGGCCACCTAGGATGTTTTATACTTAATATCACTTAACGTTAACACTTTTATAATATTCAATATTGTGTAGAATACTTGTGTGTAATATCACATGCAGGGATGATTCATACTCACCATTTCATACTTAAGTGGAACAGGTTCATCTCAATATATATTATATATTACATTCTCCAAAGTGGTTTCAATGACTTTTGTTTGTTGATAAATCATAAAATCAACCAATCTTATTTCTGTACTATATGTGTATGTATGTGTAAATGATACCCTTTGCAATGTTTGTTGTCAATTTAACTTATTCAATGTCTAAACATCTTACAGAGATAATTTTCACAAAAGAAATCTATCTACCGCACTGCATATATATTACCAACACAAATTGTAATATGGCCCTTGGATATATGCAATTTCAACAAGCATATATGTTTACAGAATCCAATCTCATTTTATACCCCATTCTCATCTTAACAAATATACATACCAGAAATGTCTCCCATTGTGTTTATGATAGAAGGTATAGCATCTGGGATATTTTGCATTCTTCTGTCGCATGGCATATTTATTCTCTCTTGCCACTGCTTCTTCTTCATCAATAGTTTCCCCAACATACTCTAGTAGAAAATCCCCTTTCTTGAATTCTTTTGTAGCGAAAACGCCATATCCTGTAAAAGTTAAGGCAATATATTGTAAGTATCTTTGCTCAACATGATGAAGAGTTTTATCAATATAAATCAGTGTTTTTGTTTGGCCGTTTTTGCAATTTGGTAAGTATAAATACTGGTTTTTCAGTTACATTTTTGCTACGTGTACTTTTCTGCACTGAAGAGGACTTAAGAAATCCACTACAACATAATGGTGCAACAAACACAATTTATTAACAAGAAAAAGCGTTTTTAAACATTCTCCCCCCCCCCTCCCCAAGGTATTTTTGCCTGTGAAATGGAGGGTTGATGAAGAAGCATTCTATCGAAATTCAGGCAATATTTCAGACATTTATACAGATAAAAAATATGTAAATTTGCAAGTAAAGTATACAAAATGTATACATAAACAGTTCACTTACTGTTTAACTTGATTGTGTATTCTTTTTGAGACATTGGGACAGATTTTTACCAGTTTAAAACATGTTATAATGATTGTCAATGATGNTGCTATTTTACATTGTAAGCGCCAACCTAAGAACTTGAAACGAATGTTGACATGTTCTTACTTTGATAATTCTTGTGTAACACCAGAAGTATCCAAATGTAAGACAAAAGATGTGCTGCATGTCCTATGATTATCGAGAGCAATACTTTTATTTTCAAGAATGGTTTGAAATTTACTGAAAAGGTAAATATGAATTGTAAATCAAACAAGAGGCCCAATGGACCTGCATTACTCACCTGGTATTAATCTCACACTTGTAATCGTAAAAGTGGACTAAAAGTAACAGCTACAGGCAAAGTATCAGTGTTTGATTCATAAGAACCTATTAAAAGATTTAAACATATGACGCGTGTGACTTTGAATGTCGAACAAGGACATTAGGTTGAAATACAGAATCCTGGGCCTTTTGGTTATTGATAAGAATTTGTTTGAAGATTTTAAAACATTTGACCCCTGTCACCTTGAAAGTTTGTCAAGATCATTCATTTGAACAAACTTGGTAGTCCTTCATCCCAGCATGCTACAGGCCCAATATCAGAACCCTGGGCCTTTTGGTTATTGCGAAGTTGTTTGAAGATTTTAAGACATCTGACCCCAGAGACCTTGAAACTGGGTCAAGGTCATTCATTTGAAAAAACTTGGTAGCCCTTCATCCCATCATGCTACATGCCCAATACCAGTACAATGGGCCTTTTGGTTATTGAGAAGAAGTTGTTTGAATATTTTACGACATTTGACCCCTGTCACCTGGAAAGTTGGTTAAGGTCATTCATTTTAACAAACTTAGGTGGTCCTTCATCCCAGCATGATACAGGCCCAATATCAGTACCCTGGGCCTTTTGGTTATTGAGAAGAAGTTGTTTGAAGATTTTACGACATTTGACCCCTGTGACGTTAAAAGTTGGTCAAGGTCATTCATTTGAACAAACCTGATAGTCCTTCATCCCAGCATGCTACAGGCCCAATATCAGTTCCCTGGGCCTTTTGGTTATTGAGAAGAAGTTGTTTGAGGATTTCAAGACATCTGACCCCAGTGACTTTGAAAGTTGGTCAAGGTCATTCATTTGAACAACCTTGTAGCCCTTCATTCCAGCATGCTACTAACCCAATATCAGTACCCTATGCCTTTTGGTTATTGAGAAGAAGTCGTTTGAAGATTTTAAGACATCTGACCTCAGTGACCTTGAAAGTGGATCTCGGTCATTCATTTGAATAAACTTGGTAGCACTTCATCCCAGCATGCTACATGCCCAATATAAGTACTCTTGGCTTTTTGGTTATTGAGAAGAAGTTGTTTGAAGATGTTAATATATTTGACCCCTGTGACCTTGAAAGTGGGTCAATGTCATTTATTTGAACAAACTTGGTAGCCCTTGATTCCAGTATGCTTCTGGCTAAATATCATCATCCTATGCCTTTGGTTACTGAGAAGAAGTTGTTTAAAGTAAAAAGTTGATGCTGGACAGACGGATGGACTGACAGACGACGGACGCCGCACCATGGCATAAGCTGACTTGCCCTTCGGGCAGGTGAGCTAAAAATGTAATTTATGCAATATTTTGTTCTAAATGTGGTGCTTTTTACATCGGTCAAACCGGTAATGAACTCAGAACACTTATGACTACATAGACAACAAACTAGAACTGATTCTTTACGAAATCTTCATGTTAACAAACATATTCATGAATGTGCTTGAGATAATTTAATGTATTACCTTTGTATCAACTATTTTCATCAGACACTATTTTAAGAGAAATGAAAGAAGACCAACTAATCAAAATATTAAAACCAAGTCTCAACAGGCCACAGTAAAATTTTACGCTAAATTGTCCACCAAACTTGTGTACTTCGTGATGTCATGTTACTATTGTAGTGTGATGAATGTAATTGTGACGTCACGACGTTGTTCTTTTGAAAAAACTTGAAGAACCCTGTGAAGGGTGAAAGCAGCTAGTTTTTTAGTCGGTCGTTAATCTTATTTTTTCTATATATATATATTTATATATATTATGGGAAAAAACTATTTTCCTTTGCATTTTTGGTACAGATGGGGTTACGCTTTATTCCTTGTTATTCAATGTGCAATGACATTTTCTAAAGATTATAATAATTTGGTACATGGATATCTTTGAAAACTTTTGCTATGCAAAAGATATGAATATAACTTCCTTTCTACCTATAAATCCATATTTTCACAATTTTCCTAAATGCCGTGATATTTTCCCAATTGAAAAGCCACATGTGGCTGTAAAATGATGGCAACAAAAACACTGTAAATGTTTATAATGATAACATTGTCTATCTCCACATATACATTTTATATATATATTTTATATTTTGTGTAATCAATATTTTAAAATCTTGTTGTTTTTTTGACCCCTGGACAATAAGACAATATAAGGTTTGGCTAACTGTACAATGCCTGAGGTGATCACCTGTCCACTCCAGGTGAATTTTTCACACTTCGAATTTGCTTCACCCCAGTCAGTGGAAAACAATAGATCGACCATCGCTCAAAGGTCATCTAATTAAGTCTAAACAAATATGTTTGGTAGTTAATAACTCTCTAAAATGGAAATAATTAGGTCACCCACATTTTATAACACAAATTCTGGTAAGTTCACGGTTACCTTAATTGACAAATCATGTGAGAAAATCATGCCGATTTCAATGAAAATATTACTCCAGAAGGAAGACGTGTGTTTTTAATCATGTAAGCAATAGTTTCTCTATTGCATTAGAATTTTATTTTCCTGTGTCTCTGTTGAAAAATGTCAAAATCGGGCCATGCTGTTGTCGTAAACAACTGACGACGGCTGCTTTATTTACACTATACACCCTTTTCGTTGAATAGAACATTTAGTGTTTTTTTTGTTATTGTTTCTATAAAAGTTGATTTCACCGCACGACTAGCGAGGTACAGGTAAGACCGTGCGAGATAAACTCACTCGATGGGTATCGGTCAAATCTGTCATGCTCTATAGTTTACATACAAAGAGCGATGTAATTATAACTGTGTTACAAATATAAAGCTTGATTGGCACGCTATTGTAATAGGTGTTAAACTTTGTGCCTGTAACAACAAGACTTGTATCTTAATGTAAATACAGCATGGATTTGTAATTCAATTGATAGTTTATTTCATTTTTTCGTTTAATTCATATTTCGTGTGCTAAAAAATTTGTTCAGATCATATTTCGTGCTTTTAATAAAACCACGAAATAAAAGAAATTAAATCCCTCAACAAAATATTATGCTTTTACAGTAGTAAACTATTCAAAATTAACCATGCGACCTTGTCCTGTAGTCGGGCTACAATTCATATGATTCTGATCAATATTGCTTCACAGTATCATAATAAAATATTTACAAGTAAAATATTCAAAAACTGACTTTGACCTATGACCTGGTGACCTTGACCTGTAGTCTAGTGACTTCTCATTTGATTGCAGTCAATTTTGCTTTGTTATGTCTTAACGGAATATTTACAAGTTATCATTTGATCATAGAAAGTGTTTGGAAATTGTTTTTAACTTGGTTCAGGGGTTTCTGAGAAGAAGACCAAAATATGATTTATAAACTGTACTTAAACAGTTTTATAAATTACAACAATATCAAATGTTATAAAAAATACGAAATCTCTGATCGTTTTTTGAAGTAGATATCTACCATGAGTATTTATAGTATCTGAAATCATAATCTAAAACTGTAAACACAAACGTAACTGGTTGGCCAAATAGTTTGAAAGAAAAAACGAAGACAAAATACCTACAATTTGTGGAATTTTTGAAATAGAAATATCAGAAGCAACTCCTACCGTAGATTCAACAGTCTGGATGCGTCCGTGGATGCATGCTATCAAGAAAAGATCCATACCGACTTACAGTGGCGCGTACAGGATGCAAAATTTTGCGTCCCAAACATTGCTGTTCACTTTTCTTTTTTCCGTTTGATAATTGACACTGAAGATTTTTAGACCTTACCTTTGACAGCGTTGACATAAATAATCTTAAATTCCTCCTGGTCTTCTTGTCTTTCTATCCATATTTGGGCTGTCTTTTCTGGTGTTATCCTGGCATTTCTCTTTGGGATAACTGGATAACAGGCCGATTACGTGATAAATAAATATATATCCTTGTGAAAGGAAATAAATAGTAGACACCTAGGATAAGGCTGTTAATTACCATAGTGGTAAATATGTATTGTTTATACATTCATTTGTATGTAACTACAATGTAAATCTTGTATCAATGCATGTCAATAATTAAAAATGACACTCGTAAATTTATCACCGAGACCAATCTTAAAAGCTTATCATCATTGAAATACAGACAAACTTCGCTATCTTGAACTTTGATAGCTGGAAGACTAAAAATTCAGTTATGACAGTAAAATTTTGATACAAAATATACTTGGTTACCTCGAATACTCTGGATATCTCAAAGTTTTTTCATTACCCCGGGCTCAATGACGAGATAATGAGGGTCGACAGTAGTACTCACCCAAATGCTCCACTTTTCTTTTCTTTCTTGAGCTCATGATCTGCTGGTGCTCATTTCTCCTAAAAGATATTTTCCTTTGATCAAACTAGTGAAGTGATGAATGGATTGATTACATGCCATATTCAGAACACTCATTGAAACATCATGTCATCTTTTCAAAACATACAAACTTTTGATTTAAATTGAATCTATTTAGGCATTATACATTTGGTCTATTGTATAATTAACAACCATTACTAATATTAGGTAAGTTGTGATATTCCTACTTGGACTTCCTGTCAAAAAAATGGAAACTAAAAAATTAGCTTATGTCCTAATTTCATACCTGCTAATATTAATCAAATGCCTCCAACATGTGATAAACATGTTTTAAAGTGGGCACAAGAACTTGACATCAAACTGGTTTTGAAAACAAAATGCTTTGCAGGATTGTAATTCTTTCTCGTCAAAGAATATTATTGCATTGAAGATATACACATTCATGTCCATCACATCCATAGCAAAATCATTACAAAATGAAATTGCCTGACTGAATTCCATGTCACAAACAAACAAAGCTATTCCAACAGGAAGTTCCTCAATTGTAACGGCATTCATCGCTTGATAAGGATTCAATATTAAGATCAATGCCCCTGTGCAACATGAATGTAGCTTGAATTGGCATTCTCTAAATTAATACACTGACTAGGGCATATCTCTTAAAGGAGGAAATATAGTTCAGGAATAATTCATTCAGAACAAAGGTTACAGAACTTTTATTTTTATCTACAATGCAATAAAATTTGATTTATTTAAAAAAACAGTTGAGTTTTCATTAAAAAAATGTGAACTGGTATACCGATACGTATATGCATCGGCTAGGCGATTAGGCACAGGTATAAATCAATGCTACGTAAAATGTCTCCCCATAAAATCTGTTTCTCGAAAATATATATATACTTCTCACACATTTATTTTTTCTTCATGAGGAGTATACTGTACCAATAAAAATTAACTGACATTGTACTATTACTGTTAAATCTGCCAACACACAATTTTAATGCAGGATAAAGTTTAAATGTAGGCCTATAATTATAAGTTGTCGTATCCAAGTCACTATTCTAGCAGCTGAAATACATACCATTGTTGTTGATGAATATTCCATTCAGCTATTTATATTTGTTTACATGTCAGTCTGTGACGTTAACTATTTTCCTTACTAGTCATTTGGACTAGTGAACCCATAATTTTAATAGTCCAACTGTGAATTTGCTAGTCCAAATTACAGACTGGTCTTTTTTACAGCATGAAGTGTAAATTGTGATCTAAATTGGAAAATTATTAGAAATCAAAACAAAATGTCTCTCAATAATTAACAAAAGAAACGGAGCACGGAACTTGATCGCTAATCATCTCTAATACAGTATTATTGTTGTTTCCATTGAGCCTTTAAGCACTAGCCAGAACTGTATTTTTTTTTTTTTCGTGTTGGAACAATTTTTTCTGTCTGTTCACGGACAGGCTTAGCTGGTTTTGAACCTTTCCTCCAACTTAGCAAGATCGCCATGGTTGGTTTCGAGTGGTTATAAACCGGAAGTAATGTTCGTTAACTACTAAAATCTGGAACCCAGTCTCACGATCGCTCATCGAAACTTCGAAGCTTCGACGAATACCGTATTTTACGATAGGATTAGAACTTGTGACAAGCTTTATAGTGCAAAAAATATACCATTAATAATATTTCCATTATTTTGGAGGAAAATTGCCACTAGTCCAGTCGGACTAGTTAAATATTTTCAATACTAGTCCAGACTTAAATTTACTAGTCGTGGGCATCGGACTAGTGCCTAACCTCGCAGACTGACATGTGTTTTGCATTCAAATCCTCGCTCCCCATAAACTTCGAATATTTTTTACTCATTCTCCATAGCCCTACCACAAATTTCTCATAATGTAGCCAGTTTTCCGTTCGTTTATCATCATACTTTATGTTAGTGTTCATAGCCCAATTAAGTGCCTACTGTAGTTATTCTCGGAATTGGGGGGCCTAGATTCTATTCCTTTGTATTATCTTCCTCGATCTTCGCGTGAAAGATGAAATGGCGTCTATTCTTGCTGGTGAATTCAAACACCTCGTGTGCAATATTCTCCTCTCGCAAAGCACACTTTGCAATGCGAAAATCTAAACGGTCTTCAAATTTCACAAGAGTGCCATTATCATATTCCTTATATGCGAGATGTTCAACCAAGTGTTGAATTATTTCGATGCCTTTATCGTTGAACACAATTATCATCCCAACCACAAGCACCATAATGCACAAAAAGTCTCACCTTTCTGCAACAGTGTTATTCCGCTCGATGTCCTCCTTTCCCTCTCCCCAGGAAATATCGCGCGCAAGTTACTAACCAGTCGGAACCCCTCGTCATTTTCTACGAAAACACGATAATAACCTGAAATGTTCCGAAGAATTAGCCATCATTCTCAAACTCCTCATTCCTCAAATTTTGTAGCGGGAAATGTTCAGATGTCTCAGTCGAATGACCGGACGGTTGCCTTTTACAAGAGACATCGAACGATATTGTAGACCTAAGGCTAGTATTTACCAGGCCTAGGGTTACATATAATATACGTCATCCGTGCGTCCTATTCAGAAAATATATCCCTTTCAGTGGTAAATCATTTTCCACTAATTCATATTCATGAGATAATGAGCAACAACTCAAGAGTATTTTCCCTATACTTATCTATGTATGCATTCCAGTAATTATTCATATTGACAAAAATAGGTGAAATAACTTGTACTTTCAGAATTAATTTTACTTCTATCAACCATGACAACATTTTCAAACATTTTAAAGCCGATTAAACGAGAAAATAAATCCATAACCCATAACTACATACTTCAAGCGAAAGGGATCTCAAATTTTGAAGTTGGGATCGCTATTTGAATGAAAAAAAGTTCGATATAGGCGGATTCTCTTTTGACGCGCCTGCTTACCGAATTTGATTTCAAGAAAGCCTAAAACTCAAAACAACGATAACTGATAAGATTTTTTATCGCTTCAATATCATTGATTTTAATACGAAAATGCTTCGATCTACGTATAGTGCCAAAACGTCTCAGGACTTGGTGTGAAAAACTACGGGACTTAAGATAGAAATAATGGCTGGAATTCATACATAGATAAGTCTAATGTTCATTTTTTTTATTGTATTTAACAAAAGTGTATCCTTTTTTGAAAACCACACTAATTAAAGGGAAGAAAAAAGCACACCGCTCGTACATTTGTATGTCACACATTTTTTTTGTTGTCATAAATGAATTCACACACATTTCTCTGACACAAACCATTAATATCAAACAGAAAATATAATAGCATTGCTGTTAATCCGACACTGCAACGGGGGTGGGGATGGGGGCATGATGTTGATAGACCTATGGGATGTGTGTGAGTGAGTGTGTGTGTGTGGGGGGGGG